GATCATAGGATAGGTAACTATGACCATTTTTGTACCACATGATTTTAGTACTTTATGTCAATTCAGTCATATACAAAAGTTATCAAAAATGTAATACGCAAAAGTTATCAAAAATGTGATCTAATTTTTTGACACGATATAAAAGTACTCGAAGACAGTAACTATATGAGAAAGAGTTTTAGAATCGAAAAATATGTGTCAAAGACACTAGCTCTGCTATAGCAAGCTTTCGGTAATATGCAAAAGTTATCAAAAAAATAAAAATATATCTTGCCAAGGCAAAAGTAAAGTTACTTTTTTTTTATAAAAGGTTAGTGTTTTTTTCGTCAATTTTCCAATTAATGAAGGAGACCTTAGCAAACAACAATAATAAACCATTACTTTTTTCGATTAATTTCTTTGATAAATAAAGAACTATCACTTTTCCGATTAATCAATGAATGAGATTATAAAACTTGTTATTTGTTATAAATAATATCTACTAGAATAAATATAACTTTTTGGAAGTAAAAATTACTTTTTTTATACTAATATGTGTTGATAATTTTAGCTATAAGATCTATTTTTTAGAGAAAAGTTTATAATTAACTTATCTCTGCAGATCACTGCATCCTCATCACGCGATAAAATTTAAATAAAATTTATTATACCTTTTTTCATATTAAGCACATTTTGTTTTTTTTTTTTAAATTTTGGAATTTTGAACTGATTTCGAAGTTTCAAAATAATTTCAGAGTTTAAAAAATAGCTTCAGAGTTTCGAAATAGTTTTATACGATAAAATTTCAATCATTGAATACTAAAATTAATTATTAATAGTTGGAATAATTCTTGTTCGAATAGAAACTCCTTTTTTTTCGATATTCTTAAAAAAAAAAATTTTTTTGCATAAAATAAACTGGTTTATCTCACGGAGACTAACTCCCGTGATGAAAAAAAAAAATTTAATTTTGCTACGAAAAAGTTTATTTTACGATCACTATTCAGAGTTAATTCATTCGTAGACGGATCGTCAATTAATCCTTAATCTTTGATCCTTGTGCATATTCATATATAAGTATGCTTACTCTTTTCGCCTTCCTCTCTTCTCATAAATCAATTCATACTCATCGATTCATTCTTATTAATACTCGTTAATATTCATCTCACTTCAACATT